CACTAGCAAAATAATCTTCGACCGAGCCTTGGTCACCTTTTTTAGATCTGCTTCAGTACCTAATACTGCGTCCCATAGTTCCTCATGTTCCAGATAGGTCTGAACTGCAAATTTCCAACTATCGTAGTTTTCACGCCCTTTTAATTTCTCTAGGGACGGCAACTGATAATTAGACATTTTTGGGTATATCTGAAACTTAACGACTCCTGCAACAGTTTAATCTGGGCCCATAACCTGAAGTTTCAAATTATATAAAGATCTTTGGTAAACCAATAAAACTAAGATATATTCCAAAGTATTATTCAGGACATAAAATACATAATACAAACTGACATATATCTGACAATCAATCATATAAAAAATAAATAGGATCGCGGCTGCCAATACCTTCTAATAAGGCTCAGTTCAAATTCATTTCAACAGACTGCACTCTCATGTTCTTGTAAATAAATTTAAACAATGTAATTACGCAAAATTCTTTATTAAAAAGAATACTACACTTACAGTCTATTATCGATTAATTATTGTAAGTCTCTTCATGACAAATATTTTTTAATTTTTGATCCTTATTTGTAGCATTACATTTTTGTTTTTATTTTTCAAACGAATGGCCAAGAGTGTCTTATTTAAAACTGTTGATTGCAAACTCAATAATGGGAATTCAGATATTTTTCTTCTGTAATAAACGCAAAAGACCTTTAGTAAGGCTTTAATGAACGAAATGACTGACAATTAAATAAAATATAGAAACATCAAACTACTATCAAATAATAAGACTACATGAACTATGAAGTGTACTAAATAATATCACATTCTTCCCACCTCTGTTACTTAATATAATCATTTAGGTAAGGAGGTGGTCTTCTGTTTCGCGTAGAAACTCTTTTTGAATTTTCTTCGTCCGCTAGTGTAGATTCATCTTTGTAGGGAGATCCAACTGGCAAGATACCTTCCTCTATGACAGGATCATGATCAGCATGCATAGTTAGAGGCGTAGATTCAGTATTCTCGTTTTGACCTTCTTTGACAGGGACGCTTTCTCTGACAGACTTATGAGAAGTATCTTGTTCGTGGGTAGGAGCCAGGTGTCGGAGAGAAACAGTGGTTTCCCTACCATCAGAGAAGCGTACGTGAGCATACTGAGGATTGGCTTCCAAAAGATCAACCTCTTCGACCATAGGAGAATATTTATTGCTTCTGTTAAAATTTCGAAGTAAAACCGGCCCTGGGGATGTAAGCCAAGTAGGTAGAGAAGTGCCGTTTGTTGAACGTCTAGGATAAATAAACATTCATTCTTAGAATTACAATTCGGAGGTAAAAAAGCTCCGATTCGAATCTCTAGCTTAGTTGCTGCTAAGGTACCAGAAGCTTGCCTTTTTGAGAATATGCATCCTAACTGTCATCCCATAGCCACGAAATCTAGAAGGCATTCTCAACTTGATAATAAATTTATTAAGTCTGAAATCACAAAGCTATTAGAAGAAGGAATAATCGAAGAAAGTCGGTCCCCTTGGAGAGCGCAAGTTTTAGTCACTTCAAACGCGAATCATAAAAAAAGAATGGTGGTTGATTACTCCCAAACTGTAAATAAATTTACATTCCTAGATGCATTTCCTCTTCCCAGAGTAGATGAAACAGTTCATCGAATTGCAAACTACAGGGTATTCAGTACCATCGATCTCCGCAGTGCTTACCATCAGATTCCTATTAAGGAAGCCGATAAGCCATACACTGCTTTTGAAGCATGTGGTTGTTTGTACCAGTTTACAAGGATTCCTTTCGGAGTCACTAATGGTGTTGCTGGATTTCAACGAGTTATTGATAGCGTAATACGTCTAGAAAATCTTAATGATACATTTGCCTATCTAGATGATATTACCGTTTGCGGCAGAACACAGGTGGAACACGATAAAAATTTACAAAAATTTTTCATGATTGCCAAGAAATATCGACTTACAATCAATGAAACAAAATCGAAATTTTCTACAAGATATATACAACTTTTAGGTCATACTATTGAAAACGGATTCATCAAACCCGACCCTGATCGTCTTCAACCACTTTTAGATATGCCAGAACCTCAAAGCATTCCTTCTTTACGTCGAGTTCTTGGACTGTTTGCACATTACTCTCAATGGATTCCGCGTTTTTCTGAGAAAATTCATCCCTTAGCTCATTCTTTTCAATTCCCGTTATCAGACGATGCATCTAAGTCTTTTAATACTCTCAAACAAGATCTTGCTTCCGCTTTTCTTTCAACTATAAATGAATCAGAAATACTAGTAGTTGAAACAGATGCATCAGAATTTGCCATAGCAGCCACTCTTTCACAATCTGGTAGACCAGTAGCTTTCTTCTCAAGGACGCTTAGTGGCAGCGAGAAGAGTCATTCTTCAATTGAGAAAGAAGCTTATGCTATAGTGGAAGCTATTCGCAAATGGAGACATCTACTACTAGGTAGGCAATTTCAACTTGTGACTGATCAAAAGAGCGTTTCCTTTATGTTTGATAACAGATCTCATGGGAAAATTAAGAACGACAAAATTTTAAGGTGGCGTCTGGAATTATCTCCTTTTAGTTACGAGATTGTTTTTCGTCCTGGAGTTTTGAATCGGGCAGCTGACGCGATTTCACGAGTATGTTCCTCAATCGATAGTAAAGTTAACTTACATGAAATCCATACATCATTATGCCACCCGGGAATTACCCGTATGTACCACTGGTTAAGGTCTAAGAATATTCCAGCCTCTTTAAATGAGGTTCGACAAATGACAGCGTCTTGTCAAATTTGTTCTGAAATTAAACCAAGGTTTATAAAATCTCAAGGAGTTTTAATCAAGTCTACTTCACCCTTTGAAAGGCTTAACATGGATTTTAAGGGACCACTTCCAACTTGTTCAGGAAAACCTTATATGTTAACTATTATTGACGAATTCTCTAGATTCCCTTTTGCGTTTGCGTGTTCAAGTACAACGTCTTCTGAAGTCATTAAACACCTTAAAGAGCTTTTTTTTACTTTTGGTACCCCCTCATACATTCACTCTGATCAGGGATCGTCTTTTATGTCCAAAGAACTTAAATCCTTTCTCGGGTCTCTTGGAATAGCTTCAAGTAGGACTACACCATATAATCCCCAAGGAAATGGACAGTGTGAGCGTTACAATGGAATTATATGGAAAACTGTTAGGGCCGTATTCATAGTCAATACTTGAGACGTCATTAGGCCTTGAGGTTTCCTTATGCACTATTTTGTGTTTCATAGTCCTACAAAGTTGACTTGAGGGACTCTTAAGTCTAAGGAAGCTTCGGAGGTAACTTAAGTCTACCTTGCCTGAGTTTTGAGGTTAATGTCAAAAGATGTATTGTTTTTGTGAGTGATTTGATGGCTTTGGTGTTGAGTTTTTGGACGATTTTTGCAATGGATTACGACGATTTCATAGAATTTATAGAAATTGTGGATGCAGAAGAAGTTGTAAGAATTCCTAAAAGATATATACGAGATATGGAAAATCCAATTGATTATTATTATGAAAGTCAGTTTAAAAATAGATATAGATTTTCTAAGGAAACGATTAGAGAAGTAATTTTACTTTTAATTAATGAAGAACTATTGAAAGTAAATAATAGGGGTCTACCCATTCCACCACTTCTTCAGCTTTTGATAAGCCTGAGATTTTATTCAACTGGTTCTTTCCAGGTAAAAATTTTCCGGAAATAAATTTTAAATACTATATGTAGGTATTAAAGTGGCACATACTTTTATTCGTGTTATATTTCAGATTGTTTGTGGAGACTTGCGAGGAGTGTCACAATCAAGTGTATCTCGAATCATAAAAAGAGTGTCCCAACTATTAGCTAGTCATCTAAGAGACTTTGTAAAATTTCCTGAAAACCCACAACAACTACAGTCAAATACAAGAAAATTTTTTGAACTTGGAAATTTTCCTACGGTTTCAGCATGTGTAGATGGAATTCATATACCAATAAAAAATCCTGGTGGGGATGGAGAAATTTTTAGAAACCGTAAGGGAATTTTCTCTATAAATGTTCAAGTATGATTTATCGTTTTACTCGGTACATACCTACTTATTTCACATATTGTTTTTAGGCTGCTTGTGGACCATCTATGGAAATATTAGATATAGTAGTAAGATTTCCTGGTTCAATGCATGACAATGTCATATTTGAAAGGAGTACCTTGCGAATAAAGTTTGAAAATAATTACATCCAAGGTAAGTGTTCAATAGTTGTTTGTTTATGAATAATCTATGAGAATGTTAAATCTAAAATAGTATAAACGTATAATTTTAAAAGTCTCAATTTTAGGAAAAATATTAGGTGATAATGGATACGCTTGTAAAAGATATCTTTTAACTCCTGTACTAAATCCAGTTAATAGGGCTGAGCGGAATTACAATATAGCCCATAAAAGCACAAGGAACATAGTTGAAAGGACCTTTGGAATATGGAAAACAAGATTTCCTTGTTTAAAACGTGTTCTACTTACTAGTTTAGAAACATCTGTTGAAATAATTTGTGCAGCTGCTGTTCTACACAATATAGGAAGAATTACACAGGATGATTTTGACGAGGATGATGACGATGGTCCTGAACTTGGAATGGAAGATTATATCATGGATAACCCAAATGCAGCAGCTATTCATTATCGTAGGGCTTTTATAAATACTCATTTTGCCAATTAATTTTTTGTTTCTTCTCTGTACATTGTATTATTTTATAAGTAGTATTATTTAAATAAAAAACGTAGGTATTAGTTTTTTCTTATATTCCACGAAATTCCAAAAAACAAAAAAAACAAATATGACCAAAACAAAATTCTTAACATTAAACTTAAAATATATTCCTTATTTAACATCAAAAAATACTAAAATGAAACTTTTTAAACAAATCTAAAAGTATCACATTTTTGTTTTTCTATATATTCCATTACATTCCAAAAAACGAAATAAAAATCAAGAAAAACAAATATAGCCAAGACAGCCAAACAAAATTATCAATATAAATCTAAAACACCATATCAAAAAATACAAACAAAAAAACTTTTTAAATAAATCTAATTAAGTTGGACATTTTTTAAATTATTGCCTTCCTTTAGTAGGCAATCGGCCCTTATTTGCCAATAACGTTTCTCTTCTTTTGCTGCTTCCATTTTAACATTATGCAATTCTCTTTGCTGTTCCATTGACTCCTCTAGCTTTATTTTTCTTAAGGCAGCCTCTTCGTCAATGTGAGTATATTTTTTTCTGTTTTCCTTATTGAATCTACCTCGTTTCCTTTTTTTAAATTCACCAGTATCTTTTTTAATGCTTTCATTGCCTTTTTCTACAGTTACTCCTGAAATAATAACTTGTCAGTATAGTATAATAAAGTAAAAAAAAATAAGTACTTTTATAATCATGGTCATCAAGTATGGTGAGTGAATGAAAACTATACGCCCCGGGCTCCTTGTGGGTTGTTATAGATGAAGTAGCCGTCTCATCTACGTTTTTTGCTGCCTCAAAAAGAGCTATGCTGTCAAAATTGTTTTTTATTTCAAAATCAATAGTAGGGAGTATTGCTCGAACTTGCTCCTCAATGGGGTCATTATTGTCCTGAGGTGGAGGACCTCCACCAGTCTGAAGTGTATAATTTCTTCTTTCCGTGTCTGATTTTCGAGTTCTACAAATAAAAATTGCAATTATTTTTATATTTATGTAGCTAAATTTTGAACCTACCTTTGTTTCATATTGTCCCACAGTTTTTTTAACTGTTTACAATTTCTGGGCGTTACATCATTGGAGTTGTAAGTGGCACAAATTGTATCCCATGTTTCTTGTTTTTTCCTTACTGACACACCGTCCGTTTTTTTACATTCAATTATTAGTTTAAACTGATCAACTAAACTTATCAGTAAGTTTTTTCACCTTCTGAATAAAACTTATTAGACATTTTTGTGATAAACTTCAACACAACTCTAAACAAATAACAAATGACCAAAATAACCAATAAATGTCATTTAATGTAGCTACGTTCGCGGTTCACGCTACGTCGAACGTTGACATAAATCTGACAGAAAATGCGACATTGCCATATCTTAATTCTTCTTAAGGTTGCCTTACTGAAGGATGGTAATTAAACACACTATTAAAGAGAAATTTCAAGGAAGACTTAAGGTCACCTTACCTAATGCACTCTTGAGTGTTCCTTCAAGTATCGACTATGAATACGAAGTCTACTTCACCCTTTGAAAGGCTTAACATGGATTTTAAGGGACCACTTCCAACTTGTTCAGGAAAACCTTATATGTTAACTATTATTGACGAATTCTCTAGATTCCCTTTTGCGTTTGCGTGTTCAAGTACAACGTCTTCTGAAGTCATTAAACACCTTAAAGAGCTTTTTTTTACTTTTGGTACCCCCTCATACATTCACTCTGATCAGGGATCGTCTTTTATGTCCAAAGAACTTAAATCCTTTCTCGGGTCTCTTGGAATAGCTTCAAGTAGGACTACACCATATAATCCCCAAGGAAATGGACAGTGTGAGCGTTACAATGGAATTATATGGAAAACTGTTAGTCTCGCACTGAGATCCCGTAATCTACAAACTAGTCAGTGGGAACAAGTACTACCTGAAGCACTCCATGCAATTCGATCCTTACTATGTACCGCAATCAATGTGACACCACATGAGAGAATGTTTACTCATCCTAGACGTTCAACAAACGGCACTTCTCTACCTACTTGGCTTACATCCCCAGGGCCGGTTTTACTTCGAAATTTTAACAGAAGCAATAAATATTCTCCTATGGTCGAAGAGGTTGATCTTTTGGAAGCCAATCCTCAGTATGCTCACGTACGCTTCTCTGATGGTAGGGAAACCACTGTTTCTCTCCGACACCTGGCTCCTACCCACGAACAAGATACTTCTCATAAGTCTGTCAGAGAAAGCGTCCCTGTCAAAGAAGGTCAAAACGAGAATACTGAATCTACGCCTCTAACTATGCATGCTGATCATGATCCTGTCATAGAGGAAGGTATCTTGCCAGTTGGATCTCCCTACAAAGATGAATCTACACTAGCGGACGAAGAAAATTCAAAAAGAGTTTCTACGCGAAACAGAAGACCACCTCCTTACCTAAATGATTATATTAAGTAACAGAGGTGGGAAGAATGTGATATTATTTAGTACACTTCATAGTTCATGTAGCCTTAGGCTTTAATGAACGAAATGACTGACAATTAAATAAAATATAGAAACATCAAACTACTATCAAATAATAAGACTACATGAACTATGAAGTGTACTAAATAATATCACATCTTCCTGTATCAAATCTTCTTTCTAACGGTTTGAAGCCATTTTCTTGTTCTAAAACAATAAATAATAAATAAATACCAACTTTGTGACAAAAGTTGGATATTATTTGTGTTACTTACATGACTAGATCTTGCTTTGGTTAATTAAAGAACGCCACATTGGGGTTGTTAAATTTATTCTTGTGGCATGTGTTACTAATGCGTTCTTTGACTTATTGTAATGTTACAAAATATAATTATTGTCCTCAAATTTCTTACAAAAACAGCCACAACCATTTTGTTTAGTTCATCTAGAGTATAACACAATCATTAACTCAAAATTTAAAATTTAAATTCAGGATTCTTCGATATCACATAAAACTGACTGCCATTTATATTAAACTGTTCACTGCTGTCCACGTCTACTGTCTGTCTCAGTGTTGCCAACCGCACGATTTAAATCGCATTTATACAATTTTTTAACCCTCTGTACGATTGCATCAGTGAGATCGACGTAAAAAAACGATCTTCCCTTTTTTAGTAGGATTTAAATATCTGCAACAACTTCAGAACATAAAACAATAAAAATCAAAAACTACTTGCAAATATTCATACGCCGTTTGTAATTTCTGAAGGCAGTAATTTTCGTTCTCACTTATCGTGATTTTGACGATGGTGATTTTGTACCAACACCGACTATCACGGCATTAGAAAAGCTTGCATGCAAAATTTTAATCACTTTCAAGTGATAGTCATTGATTTCTTTAAATGTGTTAATTTAAAGTTTCATGTATTTTCTTTACCCATTGTACGAAATTATTATCGAAATACCATTTTTCTACTATACCTTTACGATCTCTCAAAAAAAATATTTGCAACACTGGTCTGTCTACAAACGAAGTATACTTTTAATTAACATCTGAGACGCATAGATGACGCCATCGTTGCTGCAGTCGTTGCGTTTCCTATCTTTATGTCCCTAATCTTTGGTGTAACATTGCTATAGTTTGAATAGTTCTATCGATACAATCGATCATAACTCGTGAGACTATTGGAAACTATCGATATGCCCACTATCGATAGTATTCGACCACTATCTGTAAAGCTTACTTCGGTCTGTTTTATTCTCCCTCCAAAGTAAAAGTGGCGTGGATCATGACGTCATAACTACATCTACAGTTTGCGTTTCTCTTGTAAGTGAGATGGATATATAGCGATTAATCAATTTGATACTTTTAAGTTAATTCAATTACAAGATTGGCTGGCTTCAAATTTAGCAGTATATGTTGGATGTATTTCCAACAGTACGAAAAGCATCTGAAGCTCGATTGTGAGACGAAGTCACTAAATTTTCCTTCAATTTATTTATAAAATGTTTAGTTCAAGTTAATTTCCGCAGAGGAAGTGAGAAATCCTCTTAAAAAGAGACAACAACAAGTTATTCGTCAGGTGCTGCCTACTAACTATCAAATATAAGTTTTGCAGTTTTGCATCATCGAGTAAAAAATAATTTTTCTAAACTCCCAGATACTGTACTACATTATATTTGAAAGACGCGATAATTCAGTGGGATATAATAAAGATGGCATATCAGAGAAAACAGTTATAATTTTCCTAAATCCCAAGCCCTAAACTCTAAGCCCTAACCAATAAGCTATTTAAATCTTTCCAATACCTACTAAATAATTATGTGGTATGTGGTGTAGCCACGTTTTTCAAGTACATTACTATCATTAATAGTTCATGGTTTTGATGGCAAAAACTTTACTTTACTTTAGAAAACTTTTATTTACATTAAAGAAATATATTTATATGTCAAATACACTCCGCACAAAAATTAACGCATCATTTCAATTTTCTTACAAAACGTAAAATTTTTGCAATTTTTTTTTTAAAGTTTGGTGTCTTATAAATTAAAAACTATTTGTATGCAATAATGGCAAAAAAATAAAACTTAAGAAGGACCAAATAAATTTATTCGATTTTTTTACAAATTTAAAAAAGTAATTTGGGTGCAATCGATAAATAAAACAAAATTAATACCTTGTATTACCACTCCGTGCTCTAAGTACTGCCAGACATCGACGTGGCATACTTAAAATCAGGCTTTGCATCAATTGTTCCGGCAAATTGTACTATTCCTCGGTTATAGCATTTTGAAGTTGATTTAATGTGTTAGAAACAATTGGTCGATTTCGTACTTGTCGTGATAAATTGTCCCAGATATGATCTAATGGATTTAAATCAGGACTTAGAGCTGGCCAATCCAATGTGGGAATACCAACTTCGTTAAGGTACTGACGAACAATTAAAGCTGTGTGCGGGCGAGCGTTTTCTTGCATAAAAACAAAATTGTCACCAATGAATGGACCGTAAGGTACAACATATGGTTCAAGAATGTCCGTTACATATCTTGCAGCTATTAAATTTCCTCCCACAACTGGTACTAACTCTGTACGAGCCGCAAAAGAAATTCCTCCCCACATCATAACAGAGCTACCACCAAAAGATTCCGTTTCTCTAATGTTACACTGAAAGTATCGTTCGCCATCACGCTTGTAGACCGGAGTTCGTCGATCAAATGAAAACAGGCTGAATCTAGATTAATCAGAAAACAGAACATTGGACCAATCGTCTATATCCCAATTCACATTTGTGGCAAACTCCAACCGTGCAACACGACGCTCCCTGGTAAGGCGTGGACACAAGTCGGCCACCCTGGCTCTAATTACTCCTTCCCGAAGACGATTTCTTATTGTTTGCACAGAAATTCTTGTGTTGCGGGCAACGGCTATTTCGTTTTGGAGCATTCGCGCTGTACAGTGTCTAGTTCGAAGAGCGGTTAATGTTAAAAATCGGGTGTCCGCTGCTGTGGTAACCCTTGGACGACCTTGTCCAGGGCTTCTGTCGTATTGCCCTGGCCTTCTATCGTATTGCTCTGTTTCTCTAAACCGGGCAGCTACCCTGGAAATTGTTGATTGTTGAACATCAAAAGCATTTGCAATGTAACGTTGACTACGTCCTCTATCAAGTAATGTAATGATTGTAACCACTTCGTCATGTCCCAAATTTCTTCTCTGGCACTCAGGATTATTCATTTCAATAATTTTCAAAATTAAATACCACAATGCCTTAAAGACAGTATCGTCCTAAAATGATCTCGGCGTTATCATTACTAAAGACTTAACGTGGTCAGAGCATATATTATCAGTATGCAAACAATCAAACTCTCAACTATTCTTATTAAAAAAAGACTTTTGGCAATGTTTCTCCCTCAACATTTTTGAAAATATACGCAACATATGTTCGTCCTCGCCTGGAGTACTGTGGTCCTGTTTGGTGTCCCGTATTAATCTCGGATCAAAAGAGGTTGGAAAAGTGCAGCGACTTGCAACAAGGCTACCGTATGGTATAAGAAGGCCACCGTATCAACAGCGTCTGTCTACCGCTAATCTGACTCTTTTTAGTGAGCGACGACTGCGTGGTGATTTAATCGTTTGTTTTCGCGCAATTAGGCACATGTTCGATGTCGATCTTTCGGATTTATTTGTATTAAATAATGACCTTCGCCTACGTGGGCACATGTTCAAATT